TAAGTAAATAAATCTTTATTTATATAGCACCTTTCACAGCTCGGAGGTCACAAAATGCTTCACAATAAAAAAATATAAAATATAAAAACATAAAACAGTGCAATACAAACAAAAATACAGAGCATACATACATACTTGTTTACAGATGTCCAAAAGCCTGCCTGAAAAGGTGTGTCTTTAATTGCACCTTAAAAATCTGGACAGAGGGTGAGGATCTCAGATCCAGGGTCAGGGAGTTCCAGAACTTTGGGGCCATGGTTGGGAAGGCTCAGTCACCATGGGTTTTTAGTCTCGACCGAGGCACGACCAGGAGCATCTGGTCAGAAGACCTAAGTGACCTGCTGGGGATGTAGGGTTTGAGGAGCTCGCAGATATAAACAGGGGCTGTATTGTGGAGGGCTCTGTAAGTTAGGACCAGGATTTTGAAGTGGGATCTGAAATGAACTGGAAGCCAGTGCAGGGATGCTAGGATGGGGGTGATATGGCAGGACTTGTGTGATCGAGTGAGTAATCTGGCAGCGGCATTTTAGACAAGTTGTAGACGGTCTAGGGATGATTTACTGAGGCAGGTGAACAGTGAATTGCAATAATCAAGCCAAGATGAAATAAACGCATGGATAGCCATTTCCAGTTCAGAGTGTTAGATGATGGACCTGAGTTTTGCAAGGATTCTGGGGTGGAAGAAGCATGAGCGGGACAGGGAATTGACATGTTTGTCAAACAGCATGTTTTGGTCAAAAACGACTCCAAGGTTCCTGAGGTTAGATCTGATGTTTTGTGATAGTGACCTCATGTGGTCGATCACCTTCGAGACTGTTGGGTCATCAGCAGTGATCAGAACCTCGGTCTTGTCTGCGTTTAGTTGGAGGAAGTTGTTGGTCATCCACTTCTTGATAGCAGACAGACATTCATGGAGTGAGCTGATTTCTTTAAAGTTAGCCGGTTTAAATGACAGGTATAGTTGGATGTCATCTGCATAACAATGATAGGAACAGCTTTGAAATTACTGATGATGCGGCCAAGGGGAAGCATATACAGGGAGAACAGTATAGGGGCCAGAACAGAACCCTGAGGCAGGCCACATGACAGGAGAGCAGGGTCAGACACAAAAGGGGTAACAGCTACTGAGAAGCTTCTCTCACTGAGGTAGGAGGCGAACCACTTTAAAGCACTCCCAGAGACACCCACTTACTGAGCCTGTCGAGCATGATATGGTGGTCTACAGTATCAAATGCTGCACTTAGGTCTAATAGCACCAGTATGAAGCATTTGCCTGCATCGGCAGCCATCATGATATCATTAGACACTCTGAGGAGGGCTGTTTCTGTGGAGTGCTGCTGCCAGAAGCCAGACTGAAATATATCTAACAGGCCTTGGGTGGTCAAGAAGGAGATAAGTTGGTTTGCTACTACTTTCTCAAGGATTTTAGATATAAATGGCAGTTTGGAGATGGGTCTGTAATTTTTGGGTATGGAGGGCTCTAAGCTTGGCTTTTTGAGAAGCGGCTGCACAGTAGTCTGTTTGAAAAATGATGGAACACAGCCTGATTTCAGGGAGGTGTTAATAATGGAGACCAAGCTGGGGCCCACAGAGCTAAAAACCTCTTTCAGCAAGGACGTTGGTAAGATGTCTAGTGGACTGGACGAGGATTTCATGGTGCCCACTAGCTCAGTCAGATCCTGCAGAGTGATAGAGGAGAAACTGCTTAGAGAAACCAGTCTGGGTGGACAGGTTGGAGGGGAGGCAGCGGAGGGGGTGATACTAACCCTAACAGCAACAACCTTATTCACAAAAAAAGACAGAAAATTATTACAATCCTGATTGGAAGAAACAGGGACTGAGGGGAGTGGAGGACTGATAATGTTATTAATAGTCTGGAATAAGACTCTGGGGTTTCGCCTGCTGGATGTGATCAGGTTAGCAAAACAAGCAGCCCTTGCGTTTTTAATCAGCGCATTGAGCTTAACAGATCTTTGAGATTGAGATGGTGGACCTGGAGTTTGGTGGTTTTCCAAAGCCATTCTATTTTTTAACATTTGTGTTTGTGGCTGTGGATCTGGTTATTTACCCAAGGAGAGGAGTTAACAGGTCTGAGGGTAAAAGTAACTATGGGGGCTATTTCATATAAACTTGTAGAGCAGTGGGAGTTGAAAGCATGAACGAGAGACTCTACGTCCGCATGAGGTGACGGAGCATTGGCCTGCACGGCAGTCAAATGCGGCAGAAAATTTTTCTGCTGAGAGACTGTTAAGGATGCGTGAACTTTTTGCTTGCTTCCCTGGAGTGACGTCGGCATTGAATGATATGTTGAATAAAACACTTTTGTGGTCAGTTACTGGCAAATCTTCAATGCTAACATCCATGACATTCAACCCAAGACTGAAAACCAGATCCAGAGTGTTTCCCTTGATGTGTGTGGGGCCAGATATATGCTGGTTCAGGTTAAATGACTCTGTAATCCTAAAAAGTTTGCAGCGAAGCTGTTAGTGTTATCATTTACGTGTATGTTAAAGTCATCAGCCAGGAGGATTCTTTTGTAATGAATGATGGATGATAAAAACTCACTAAAATCAGACAGAAAAGCACCATTTATGTCTGGGGGGTGATAGATAACACAGCAGAAAAGTGGTTTGGAGCGACCAATTTTGGATGTCAGAGCTTCAAAAGACGAAAAAGATCCAGTGCTCAACTTGCAGGTAGTAAAACAGTCTCTGTGGACTACGGTTAGCCCCCCACCACGGCCCAAGGCCGGTGGGGCACAGGAGAAGGAGCAGTTTGGAGGACAAAGTTCAATTATTGAAACAGATTCCTGCTCTTGCTGCCAGGTCTCTGTTATCAGCAGGCGGTCCAACTTTTTGGCAACAAAGAAATCATTTAAAATGAATGATTTATTGGCTATTGATCAGGCGTTCAATAATCCAAAACTGATGTGCATGTCAGGTGAAGCAGTACAATTAATAGGTACTATGTTCTGAGAGCATCTGGAAATATTGTGTGGCTTCATAGGGTACGGGCTATCAGTAATTCAATCAATCAATTTTATTTATAAAGCCCAATATCACAAATCACAATTTGCCTCACAGGGCTTTACAGCATACGACATCCCTCTGTCCTTATGACCCTCACAGCTGATCAGGAAAAACTCCCCAAAAAAACCTTTAACGGGGAAAAAACGGTAGAAACCTCAGGAAGAGCAACTGAGGAGGGATCCCTCTTCCAGGACGGACAGACGTGCAATAGATGTCGTACAGAACAGATCAACATAATAAATTAACAGTAATCCGTATGACACAATGAGACAGAGAGAGAGAGAGAGAGAGAGACAGAGAGAGACAGAGAGAGAGAGAGAGAGAGACAGAGAGAGAGATGCAGGTAATGACAGTAGCTTACAACAACATTAATGAAAGTAATAATATTATAATTATAGTACTGGCTACTGTGGTACAATATAAATTAAAACAGGTGTGTTTGTGGAGGGGAGACATAATCCGTGGATACAGTATGAGACGGGCCGGGTTCTGTAGGATGGATTGGATACGACCCAGAGGCAGTAATATTGCACTTGGCACTGTCTGTAGATGTTAGTGACAGTTGTAGTTGCAGTTGGCGCCTGCAGGGGGAGTGGATACGGGACGCAGTACTCAGAACTCAGAGAGGGCCTGTAGCTAAGACTACCTTAGATAATGAAAACATAGATCTGTCTGTACTCATAGGAGGAGAGGAGCTGAAAGGGAAAATCAAGGAGGCATGGCAGGGCATGTGGGAGAAGGAGACTAAGTGGAGACACCTTTATTCCATTCACCTCACGTGAGGACTCAGGCTTCTTACTTTGTAGAAACAAGGAAAGACTCTGTCACAATACGCAGGTTAAGGTTGGGTCACTGTGGGCTCAATCAGTATCTGTATAGTGTGGGGAAGCATCCCTCTGGGCTGTGTGAATGTGGAACACCTGAAACTGTGAGACATGTTTTTCTAGAGTGTGTCAGATACAGAGATCAAAGGGACTCGCTTTATAAATCTTTGACAGTCTAAGGAGTGACTTCTGTTTCCTTTTAGAGTGAAAACCACCAGCGGAAGCAGTTTTACAGTTCGACACGACACAGAGCTGTTACAATAGAAAACAGAGCGCTGCTGGTTTGAGAAGACAATGAGGCTCCTAACCACTGGAGGGCAGTGATATGCCAAGACGCGTCTACGCTGCCAGAATCCCACAGACCCCCATGTCCGCATCTGCCAAAGTAGAAGGCTGTCTGACGGGATCTCAATATTCACAGCAGAATTGACAGCATTGCTGTGGGCATTGTGGTGGGTGGAGGAAGGGGGGTTTGAACAGGTGGTTTTATGTACAGACTCACTTTCGGCCTTGATGGCACTGGGGGGAGCGGAGGGGGGCAGAGCTAGACTGGATGTAGTTAGGGAAATCTTGATGGTGGTGTCTCGACTAGAGAGGAGGGGGTGTAGTGTGGGGTTCATGTGGGTGCCAGCACATGTAGGTGTAGAGGGAAATGAGATGGCAGACAGGGCGGCCAAGGAAAGTATGGGTAGGAATGAGGTGGATGTTAGGGTGGCGTTAGGGAAAATGGAGTGCCGTAGCATTATTTATGAAAGACTCCATCGGCAATGGCAGCAGGAGTGGGAGGGAGACAGAAGGGGGAGAAAACTGTTCAGCATCCAACCATCAGTGCAATCTAGCAAGAGTGTGAGCATGCCACGAGTAGATGACATCAAGCTGACAAGGCTTAGGCTGGGGCACTGTGCTCTTGCGAGTGGGTTGATATTGGTGGGGAAACGCACAGATGGCAAGTGTGAACACTGTCTGTCTCAGAATCAGTGCTCCATGTCATGATGCACTGCCCAGCATATGCTGAGCAAAGAAGGACTCTGTTTCTAAAGCTAGAAAAGGTGGGAATCAAAAGATTTTCACTTGCAACTGTGTTGGGTACTGGACTGGGTCAAAGGGAGGGCGCTAGGGAAGTAGTTCACTTCCTTTTAACAACAAACCTGTATGGTAAAATATAGGGAATAGTGCCTGAAGCTGCAATGACGAATAGTCTCCAGTGTGAGGCAGCAATGCACTAAACCGTGCCTAGTCTGCCGGAAATTCAACAGAAGAAGAAGAAGCAGAAGCAGAAGAAGAAGAAGAAGAAGAAGAAGAAGAGCAGTGTTAGTAGTGTGTTTGTAGCATCCATCAGGTGAGTCCAGGTGTTTCTGTCTTTAATCTCACCTGTTCCCGCGCTGTGAAAACGTGATGTAACGTTAGTGATGAAGCATCAAACGGCTCATTAGCTTCTGCTAACACTGTTAGCTTCCCCTCACAGCTCGGTGTAAGAGCTCCGGTTAGCATCACGTTAGCATCACGTTAGCATCACCTTAGCCGTATGCTCGTTTCGTGACGTGTTTGTGACGTTAACTGAATATTTTCAGAGAGATGACTTTTGTCTTTCTATTCAGAAAAGTTGTGAATCTGTGAAGAAACGTTTCTGGTATTTGTATCGTCTCTGTGTGAATATGGAGACAGACTGTTGCCAGATCTCGCGAGACAAATAAGCAACCAGACCTGTGAAAACAAGCCCAAAACAAGCGACGTTTTCTACGGAGCCCCCCGAGGTTCCGGTGAGAGAAAATTAAATAAACTGTGTGCACAGTTTTACAGTCCGTGGGGACAGATTTTAAACTGTGGGTACATATTGTCAATTTACATCCACAAGAGAGAGTTAAACCACCTTTTAACATTATTTAACATTAAAAAACAGATGGGATATCAAATATAGACTGATGTACCAAGTACATTATACACACAATAAACCTCTGATAATTAACATTTGCACACACAAATAAATATCATCCTGAATTCACAAATTCTTCATTTATTATTGCTTTTTATGCACTCATCTAACTTTTTTCTTTTAGTTACAGGACTGATGTTTTCCTAACCAGAAAAAAAACACATTGCCCTGCTCTGCCTCTGATTGGCTAGTACTCGTTGCATAAGGGTCAGAGTCAATTAGAAGCAGGATGCAGGTGGGAAAAAACTCTGCTGTCTCCTGTGTGTATGGGGAAAGGGAGGGACAGAGGGAACAGGCAAGACAAACTATTCTATGTTTAAATAACATATCGAAAATATCTGCTTGACAACTTATTATTGAGCTGGGAACAAGCCCAAATAAGCAACTACGCTTTAGAAACAAGCCCAAGAAAACCGTGACCTGCGAATACCAATATTTGTAAGTGACTTTACAGAAAAACAAGCCCAAAGTTGCTTATAATGAGTGGACTTGGCAACACTGGAGACAGATGATTCAGTCAGGGGTGCCAGCTTTGGTCAGAGGGCTGGAGTGAGATTTTAGCTTGTGACGTAACACCTGCTTGTGCGTGCGTGGTCGCGTTCATACGTGGACACGGCAGCACTTTTTTTTTTACCTTAAAAGAGTAAATGTGCACATGTGGCAAACAGAGGACATAAGTGTACATTTACATATTCATATCTACAGGCCTCAGCCACACACACTTCATAGAAGCTCAATATTTGTTTTATGGTGCAGCTCAAGGTCCATTTCATCAGTCTGTGGTCCAGTGGCCTGTCCTGTTGTGACCTGTCCTGTTGTGACCTGTCCTGTTGTGACCTGTCCTGTTGTGATGTGTCCTGTTGTGATGTGTCCTGTTGTGATGTGTCCTGTTGTGATGTGTCCTGTTGTGATCTGTCCTGTTGTGACCTGTCCTGTTGTGATGTGTCCTGTTGTGATGTGTCCTGTTGTGACCTGTCCTGTTGTGATGTGTCCTGTTGTGATCTGTCCTGTTGTGATGTGTCCTGTTGAGTGAGAGTATGCTTTCACCATAGGCACTGTGTACTCCGGGGCCATCTCCTACCACCAGGATGTGTATGAGAAGTGAATGAGCACGTTGATTTTCTAGCCTTGGTACTCTCTTCCAGGGCACGTCGGGTACTACTGAGATTTATTTTAATTTTGAGAACAGCGTAGTGTGTGTGTATGGCATTTCACCAATCATAGTGGGCCGCCAGGGCCATTTTTTTGTGAGTCCACGCTGCGGCCGAATCGCGCACGCGATGGATCCAGTAGACATCCAGTTTGCGGTCCACACGCTACCAAAGACATCAAATTACCAGTGAGCCAACTTACCTTTTTTCAAGTCCAGTCAAGCGTCTCTCAGTTCACTTGAAAAGTCATGTCCTCCCCAGCCTGAGACTAGAGCTGCCCAATCAAAGCGCAAATATGGATTGCGTACCAATCAGAGAGTAGCTTTCCACAGAAACATTTGGCTGCACTGCATTTCACTCAACTGGTCTGCCGGTCAGGCGGAGTCTGACCCTCTCCTCTCCTCTCCTCTCCAGATGCGTGAGAGTTGGCAACCCTGGATTCAGTCAGGGACTGTTCATTAGTTTTAAGCCTGGGAGGAGCGTAGGTTTTTAATTTGGGCTGAGGGGCGGGGCTTACAGGTTTAAATGTTCACAGATGGTCTTCTGCAGACCTTGGTTGTAACGCTTGGTTATTTCAGTTGCTGTTGCCTTTCCATCATCGTGAACCAGTCAGACCGTCCTCCTCTGACCTCGTCACCATGGTGTTTTGGCTCCCTGGGTATTTCCTGTCTGTCAGACCGCCCTTCTGTAGATCAGAGTAACCGAATCATACTTCTGTTTTCAGAGAGCGTCCTCTGCTGCCTGTGATGTTATGGTGATGTCATCATCGGTGAAGCAGCGGTACCGTGACATTAGTCCTGTGACTCTGCAGGTGGTGGGCGGGGCCATGAGCTCCAGTCTGTACTGCGGGGAGGTGGAGGGTCTGTCCGGGGGGCTGGTGGAGTCTTTCCTGGTGGAGCTTTATCGCTGTAAACTCTGTCAGTTCACCTGCGGCCTCAAAGCCACCATCAGCAGCCACCTGCTGCTCAGGCACCGGCCCCCCACCCTCACATACCTTGGGGGTGCTGATGGAGGGGGTGGGGCTGAGGACCGAGAGGAGGCGGGGCTCCAGCGGGGGGTGTCACCCTATCAGCTGGATCTGAACGGAGAATCGAAGCAGAGTGATGAGGACGAGGAGTTTCTGCTCTACAACATGCTGGACAACATGAGCCCGCCCACCTGTGAGATCAGCAGCGAGGGGGGGCTGCAGGTCGCACACACCTGTGAGGTGACACACCTGACACTCAAACATACACAAGACATTTCTCAGTACAAGCCATGCCCAGGTCAGACATGTAGACACACACACACACACACAGGAAGGACACATTCTCATGTTTACATGAGGTGTTGTTCCACAGTGGCGGTCGGCTCATCATGGTCATACTGGCGGCGTGCTGATGTCCATCACCTCTGGGTGTCACACTGTTTCATATAAACGTGAGCTGTCCCTTTAAGGTCTGTGGAACTGATGACAGAATGTTTCCTGTCTGCAGGTCAGCACTCTGTTCGAGGAGGAATCTTCCATCTTCCCTCTGAAGGGAGGGTCAGGGGATCTGTCCTGTCCCATCGCCCCCCCTGCCACCCAGGAGGAGATGGCGCAGTCCGCTCACCTCATGACTCTGGGACTGTGTCGCAAATCAGCTGCCAAAGCTCCTCCTCCTCCTCCTGCCCCTCCCACCTCCTCCCGCCCCATCCACGCTCCGCTTGATAACTCCGCCCACCTGTCGCAGCCTAGCAATGTGAAGCAGAGCGAGACAGACGGCCAACAGACGAAGACTTCCTCCTGTGGCAAACGGAGGCTGTCGTGTCTCCTGTGTCCTCTGACACTGCCGTCCAGGCGGCTCCTGGATGTTCATATCCGGTCTCACCGGATGGCCAGTGGGTTCAGCTGCATCCTCTGCAGCTGGACAGTTGACAGCTGGGAGGAGCTGGAGCCTCACTGGAGGAGCCACTGCAGCAGGAGGAGGAGGGAGGAGCAGAGACAGAAGAAGAAGAAGGCGGCGTTGAGGCCGTTCAGTTGTCCCATCTGTCTGAGGACATTCAGGAGTGCTGCCTCAGGAAACGCTCACCGACAAACACATGATGGCTCCAGTCAGCGTCACCATGGCAACCATTCAGGTGTGAACACTCAGTACATTTACTCAGGTGACGTAGGTCAGTCTGAGTTACAGGTCGTCCACACTCAGATCCAAGTTCTGAACATCTGGAACCATCAGTCAGCTGATCGATTGATCTGAACCTGGTTCTGATCAGTGTCGACCTTGTTTGTCATTTATTTCTGCGTTTTACAGTTTGTACCTGAAGGTAACTGACCTCACTGATCTAAAGTCCAGTTCAGACCAAAGATTCATGACGAGATGAAACAGAGTCAGAACATTGCAGAGAAAAGTGTCAGCAGTGTGAACTGGCGGGTCTGAGCTGGACTCAAGCCAACTGATGGTGTCACCTGACACTCAGCTGGTCAAATGGCCGGCGGCTGGTTTTAAAGCACGTAACCTATTTCAACAGCCAATCAGCTTGTAGTGAAGTCTGCTGGTCAAGTCAAAATGACCACAGACGGCGTGTTGGCTTGCTGCAGCAGGTGCTCCGTCCCCACAGAGCCCTCTGTTTCTGTCCTCACGGTGTGCCGGTGTCAGATGGTGGGTCGCTGCTGCTGCTGGCTGTATGTGCTTATGCCCCGCCCACACACACATTCTCATTGACTGATGAATTGGCGCTGGTTATTTATATTATTGTGGCGTATTGATTATGAATACAGTCCATCTGACGCTGGTTTTGTTTCATCACTGTAGCCAGTATCTCACTATCACTATCCTCATTCAGATTTTAAGAAGGTACAAATGATATTCAGCCACAAAATAAGTCGTTGGCTAGAGATGATACGCCGTCTCATGGCGGTCACTTCCTGTCAACGTTACAGATCAGAAGCACAGAGAGTTGTTGACTAGAGATGATACGCCGTCTCATGGCGGTCACTTCCTGTCAATGTTACAGATCAGAAGCACAGAGAGTCGTTGACTAGAGACGATACGCCGTCTCATCATGAGGTCACTTCCTGTTTGACAGTAGCTTCTTGTTTGAACTCTCTGATGCAGGACTGTGACAGAATTTTGTTGTTGTACTTTTCCTTCAGTGAATGGTCTGAGTACTAATCAATTATGTGATTTGATTCCTTCAGACCTGTGGAGGGGCCGGCTGTTTGGACGAGCAGGACAGAAGGCAGCGGAGCATGCAGACAGGTAGACGACTCAAAGTGTCCTCTCCTCACACTCAGAAGCTTTTATTATGAAAAGGTGTCTATAAATAAATGTCCTTAAGTGTGTTTGATGACGATCCTGTAGGGTGAGAGTCCTGTAGGGTGAGAGGCCTGTAGGGTCAGAGGCCTGTAGAATGAGAGTCCTGTAGGGTCAGAGGCCTGTAGGGTCAGAGGCCTGTAGGGTGAGAGGCCTGTAGGGTGAGAGGCCTGTAGGGTGAGAGGCCTGTAGGGTGAGAGGCCTGTAGGGTGAGAGGCCTGTAGGGTGAGAGGCCTGTAGGGTGAGAGGCCTGTAGGGTGAGAGGCCTGTAGGGTGAGAGGCCTGTAGGGTGAGAGGCCTGTAGGGTGAGAGGCCTGTAGGGTGAGAGGCCTGTAGGATGAGAGGCCTGTAGGGTCAGAGGCCTGTAGGATGAGAGTCCTGTAGGGTGAGAGGCCTGTAGGGTGAGAGGCCTGTAGGGTGAGAGGCCTGTAGGGTGAGAGGCCTGTAGGGTGAGAGGCCTGTAGGGTGAGAGGCCTGTAGGGTGAGAGGCCTGTAGGGTGAGAGGCCTGTAGGGTGAGAGGCCTGTAGGGTGAGAGGCCTGTAGGGTGAGAGGCCTGTAGGGTGAGAGGCCTGTAGGGTGAGAGGCCTGTAGGGTGAGAGGCCTGTAGGGTGAGAGGCCTGTAGGGTGAGAGGCCTGTAGGGTGAGAGGCCTGTAGGGTGAGAGGCCTGTAGGGTGAGAGGCCTGTAGGGTGAGAGGCCTGTAGGGTGAGAGGCCTGTAGGGTGAGAGGCCTGTAGGATGAGAGGCCTGTAGGGTCAGAGGCCTGTAGGATGAGAGTCCTGTAGGGTCAGAGGCCTGTAGGATGAGAGTCCTGTAGGGTGAGAGGCCTGTAGGATGAGAGGCCTGTAGGGTGAGAGGCCTGTAGGGTGAGAGTCCTGTAGGGTGAGAGGCCTGTAGGGTGAGAGGCCTGTAGGGTGAGAGGCCTGTAGGGTGAGAGGCCTGTAGGGTGAGAGGCCTGTAGGGTGAGAGGCCTGTAGGGTGAGAGGCCTGTAGGGTGAGAGGCCTGTAGGGTGAGAGGCCTGTAGGGTGAGAGGCCTGTAGGGTGAGAGGCCTGTAGGGTGAGAGGCCTGTAGGGTGAGAGGCCTGTAGGGTGAGAGGCCTGTAGGGTGAGAGGCCTGTAGGGTGAGAGGCCTGTAGGGTGAGAGGCCTGTAGGGTGAGAGGCCTGTAGGGTGAGAGGCCTGTAGGGTGAGAGGCCTGTAGGGTGAGAGGCCTGTAGGGTGAGAGGCCTGTAGGATGAGAGGCCTGTAGGGTCAGAGGCCTGTAGGATGAGAGGCCTGTAGGGTGAGAGGCCTGTAGGGTCAGAGGCCTGTAGGATGAGAGGCCTGTCGGGTGAGAGGCCTGTAGGATGAGAGGCCTGTAGGGTGAGAGGCCTGTAGGGTGAGAGGCCTGTAGGGTGAGAGGCCTGTAGGGTGAGAGGCCTGTAGGGTGAGAGGCCTGTAGGGTGAGAGGCCTGTAGGGTGAGAGGCCTGTAGGGTGAGAGGCCTGTAGGGTGAGAGGCCTGTAGGGTGAGAGGCCTGTAGGGTGAGAGGCCTGTAGGGTGAGAGGCCTGTAGGGTGAGAGGCCTGTAGGGTGAGAGGCCTGTAGGGTGAGAGGCCTGTAGGGTGAGAGGCCTGTAGGGTGAGAGGCCTGTAGGGTGAGAGGCCTGTAGGGTGAGAGGCCTGTAGGGTGAGAGGCCTGTAGGGTGAGAGGCCTGTAGGGTGAGAGGCCTGTAGGGTGAGAGGCCTGTAGGGTGAGAGGCCTGTAGGGTGAGAGGCCTGTAGGGTGAGAGGCCTGTAGGGTGAGAGGCCTGTAGGGTGAGAGGCCTGTAGGGTGAGAGGCCTGTAGGGTGAGAGGCCTGTAGGGTGAGAGGCCTGTAGGGTGAGAGGCCTGTAGGGTGAGAGGCCTGTAGGGTGAGAGGCCTGTAGGGTGAGAGGCCTGTAGGGTGAGAGGCCTGTAGGGTGAGAGGCCTGTAGGGTGAGAGGCCTGTAGGGTGAGAGGCCTGTAGGGTGAGAGGCCTGTAGGGTGAGAGGCCTGTAGGGTGAGAGGCCTGTAGGGTGAGAGGCCTGTAGGGTCAGAGGCCTGTAGGATGAGAGGCCTGTAGGGTGAGAGGCCTGTAGGGTGAGAGGCCTGTAGGATGAGAGGCCTGTAGGGTGAGAGGCCTGTAGGGTGAGAGGCCTGTAGGGTGAGAGGCCTGTAGGGTCAGAGGCCTGTAGGGTGAGAGGCCTGTAGGGTGAGAGGCCTGTAGGGTCAGAGGCCTGTAGGGTGAGAGGCCTGTAGGGTGAGAGGCCTGTAGGGTCAGAGGCCTGTAGGGTGAGAGGCCTGTAGGGTGAGAGGCCTGTAGGGTCAGAGGCCTGTAGGGTGAGAGGCCTGTAGGGTCAGAGGCCTGTAGGATGAGAGGCCTGTAGGGTCAGAGGCCTGTAGGGTGAGAGGCCTGTAGGGTCAGAGGCCTGTAGGATGAGAGTCCTGTAGGGTCAGAGGCCTGTAGGATGAGAGGCCTGTAGGGTCAGAGGCCTGTAGGATGAGAGTCCTGTAGGGTCAGAGGCCTGTAGGGTCAGAGGCCTGTAGGGTGAGAGGCCTGTAGGGTCAGAGGCCTGTAGGATGAGAGTCCTGTAGGGTCAGAGGCCTGTAGGGTCAGAGGCCTGTAGGGTGAGAGGCCTGTAGGGTCAGAGGCCTGTAGGATGAGAGTCCTGTAGGGTCAGAGGCCTGTAGGGTGAGAGGCCTGTAGGGTCAGAGGCCTGTAGGATGAGAGTCCTGTAGGGTCAGAGGCCTGTAGGGTGAGAGTCCTGTAGGGTGAGAGGCCTGTAGTCCTGTGATCAAACCCCCCCTGGCTCCAGTCCCTCACATTAAGCTGGTTCTCAGTTCTTGAATTGGACACTCTCTTTCACTGGATCGTGAAAACATTCAATCACTGTCAGGTTCGGAAACATTTTAGCATGCTCCACGTTCGTGACCAGTGTGACCACAGGGTCAAAGGTTACACTTGTGTCATTGACTTTCAAAATAAAAGGAACTGTTAAAATATTTTTACTGTGTGTGTGTGAGGGCAGTCAGAGCAGCAGAGGTCAGACGGGCTCTCTGCAGAACGTCACACAGAAGAAAAAGAAGAGAACGAGAAGAAGCACAGAAGAAGAGAAGGACGCCACAGACACGGACTTCTGTTGCTCTCTGTGCCACAGGTAACTACATCACCCACAATCCATCACTGCACTGCTGATCACATGATCACAGGCTTCACTCACTGACCAATCACAGGAGAGGACAGGTGGACAGAGCAGCTGAAGGTCACTCAGGCTGCGTCCTGTTAGTGCAGGTATTTGAACACACAGCCGCAGCTCAGCCAGGTGTGTTTCAGGTGTGTTACCTGTTACAGGGCTGTGGTTGGTCACTTCTTTCTGTCCACAGGAAGTTCTCCACCAAACTGACACTGAGACGCCACCTGGGAATCCACAGAGGAGACAAACCGTACACCTGTCCTCACTGCTCCTACTGCAGCCGCCTGAAGGCCTCGCTGCTGCAACACCTGAGGACACACACAGGTAACACACACAAACTTGAGGACACACACACACACAGCAATGTTTTCACTCTTTTTGTCAATTACACACAGGTCTGAAAGACACACACATGCACAAACAGCACCTATACATGCACAAAGTGGAGAGATGTCAGAGTGAGGGGGCTGCCTTGGTCAGGCGCCCGGAGTGCTTGGGGGGTTCAGTGCCTTGCTCAAGGGCACCCCGGCAGTGCCCAGGAGGTGAACTGGCACCTCTCCAGCCACCAGTCCACGCTCCCAAGTCCCTATGGACACGACTGGGCGGCAGTAGCTCAGTCCATAGGGACTTGGGTTGGGAACCGGAGATCGAGTCCCCGTCCAGACCAAATATGGAGCGTGGACTGGTGGCTGGAGAGGTGCCAGTTCACCTCCTGGGCACTGCCGGGGTGCCCTTGAGCAAGGCACCAAACCCCCCACCCACTCGGGACGCCTGACCAAGGGCAGCCCCCTCACTCTGACATCTCTCCACTTTGTGCATGTATAGGTCCTGTTTGTGCATGTGTATGTCTTTCAGACCTGTGTGTAATTGACAGAGTGAAAAAAATGAATTTCCCCTCAGGGGGATTAATAAAGTAAATAAAATTTTTAAAAACAAAAAAACACACCTTAGAACACACACCAGTCAGCTGACTATGCATACTGTGTGTTTTCAGGTGAGAAGCCGTACAGGTGTGCTGAGTGTCCGTATGCTTCTATAGATCGCAGCTCTCTGCTCCGACACATCAGGACTCACAGTCAGGAGAAACCCTACAGGTGTCAACTCTGTGACTACAGCAGGTACCTACACACCTGGACACACCTGTATACAGATATAAACTACAGCAGGTAACTACACACCTGTATACAGATATAAACTACAGCAGGTAACTACACACCTGGACACACCTGTATACAGACATAAACTACAGCAGGTAACTACACACCTGTATACAGATATAAACTACAGCAGGTAACTACACACCTGTATACAGATATAAACTACAGCAGGTACCTACACACCTGGACACACCTGTATACAGATATAAACTACAGCAGGTAACTACACACCTGTATACAGATATAAACTACAGCAGGTAACTACACACCTGTATACAGATATAAACTACAGCAGGTAACTACACACCTGGACACACCTGTATACAGATATAAACTACAGCAGGTAACTACACACCTGTATACAGATATAAACTACAGCAGGTAACTACACACCTGTATACAGATATAAACTACAGCAGGTACCTACACACCTGGACACACCTGTATACAGATATAAACTACAGCAGGTAACTACACACCTGTATACAGATATAAACTACAGCAGGTAACTACACACCTGTATACAGATATAAACTACAACAGGTACCTACACACCTGTATACAGATATAAACTACAGCAGGTATCTACACACCTGTATACAGATATAAGCTACAACAGGTACCTACACACCTGTATTCAGATTTAAACTACTGTTTTTTGTTTTTTCTTTAATCAGTATCCAGAAGAAGAGTTTGGACCTTCACGCTCGCCGTCATCATACTGGTGAGGCGTTTCCATGCCAACAGTGTGATTACTCGAGTCCAGACCGCCAGCTGTTGCTCAGACACATGCGCAGACACCACGCCCCCTCGCAGCACGCCAGGCTTTGACAGATGATTGGACGCTCTGATTGGACTGTTAGCCATATGACGACTTTGTCCCATTTGATGATGTCACCAGACCTGCTGCTGATGTCACAGACACTCTGAGTTTTTATTGGTTGTTTTTTTATTTGCTGGACTTTTTAAATTAAACTAAAAAAATCTGGTGAAACAAAAAAACACAAACTGCCTTTTGTTTTTATTTCGTTTTCTCCTTTAAATATGTCACTGTGGACTAACATCCTTCATTTTCCCTGAATTAATCTGCCAAATTAAACCATAAATATCCCTTTATCAACCCGCAACTATCCCTTACTCTACTCATAATTATCCCTTAACCCCCAACTACCCTAAATTTACCATTAATAATTCTTTAATCAGCCCATTGTTGTCCCTTTATCTACCAGTAATAACCCCTTAATTTTCCCTTCATCAACACGTAAATATCTCTTAATCACTCAGCAATTATCCCTTTTGTATTCCTTAATCAACCCTCAATTATCCTTAGCCTACCCATAATCAACCCAAAATGATCCCTTAATTATCTCATATTCAACCCTTAGTTATCCCTTAATCAACCTGTAATCATCCCTTAATTATTCTTTAACCAACTAGTAGTAATCCCTCAGGGTATCTGCAGGGTCTTTAAAAGTATTAAAAGGTGATAAATCAAATGTCGGAAAATTAAAAAGTCTTAATCGCAATTTTATCAAGTATTAAATTTTCTTGGCATTAAAGCTTTGACAGAAAGTATCCATGAATGTATAGACACACACACACAGACACACACACACACAGACACACACAGACACACACACACACAGACACAGACACACACAGACACACACACAGACAGACACACGCACAGACAGACACACACACACACACACACACACACACAGACACTCACAGACAGACACACACACAGACAGACAGACAGACAGACAGACACACAGACAGACAGACACACAGACAGACAGACAGACGGACAGACACACACACAGACACACACACAGACACACACACAGACAGACACACGCACAGACAGACACACACACACACACACACACACACACAGACACTCACAGACAGACACACACACAGACAGACAGACAGACAGACAGACACACAGACAGACAGACACACAGACAGACAGACAGACGGACAGACACACACACAGACACACACACAGACACACACACAGACAGACACACGCACAGACAGACACACACACACACACACACACACACACAGACACTCACAGACAGACACACACACAGACAGACAGACAGACAGACAGACACACAGACAGACAGACACACAGACAGACAGACAGACGGACAGACACACACACAGACACACACACAGACACACACACAGACAGACACACGCACAGACACACACACACACACACACACACACACACACAGACACTCACAGACAGACACACACACAGACAGACAGACAGACAGACAGACACACAGACAGACAGACACACAGACAGACAGACAGACGGACAGACACACACACAGACACACACACACAGACAGACACAGGAGGCTGACGTCATTTTGTTTTTGTCGTTCAGGAAGTCATTTTCTCCCTGTAAAGTTTTACTGATAAAAAATGTTCTTGTTGACATTCAGTACTTTAGTTTTATGTTGTCACACAGTTTATATCCTGCAGTCGTCTGTATTGTCCCTGTGGTCACTGCTGATGACATCATGAGGACGTGTTGACCTGTTTTCACCGCAGTGACACACTCAGAGTGTCAATCTGTGACATTCAGGTCATATCTGCTCCGAGTTAATGGATCAGTCTGAGCGGTGCTCGATGACCCGCTGCCATCCATCGATCACATGGTTATAAAGAGCTGCAGCACCACACACCGCTCCTCAAAGACACGACTGCTGAAACCAGCCGACATCAAGGAGACGTCCAGCCGACATCAAGGAGACGTCCAGCCGACATCAAGGAGACATCCAGCCGACATCAAGGAGACGTCCAGCCGACATCAAGGAGATGTCCAGCTGACATCAAGGAGACATCCAGCCGACATCAAGGAGATGTCCAGCCAACATCCAGCTGACATCAAGGAGACGTCCAGCCGACATCCAGCTGACATCAAGGAGACGTCCAGCCGACATCCAGCTGACATCAAGGAGACGTCCAGCCGACATCAAGGAGACGTCCAGCCGACATCAAGGAGACGTCCAGCCGACATCCAGCTGACATCAAGGAGACGTCCAGCCAACATCAAGGAGACGTCCAGCCGACATCAAGGAGACATCCAGCTGACATCAAGGAGACATCCAGCCGACATCAAGGAGACGTCCAGCCGACATCCAGCTGACATCAAGGAGACATCCAGCCGACATCCAGCTGACATCAAGGAGACATCCAGCTGACATCAAGGAGACATCCAGCCGACATCAAGGAGACGTCCAGCCGACATCCAGCTGACATCAAGGAGACATCCAGCCGACATCCAGCTGACATCAAGGAGACATCCAGCTGACATCAAGGAGACATCCAGCTGACATCAAGGAGACATCCAGCCGACATCCAGCTGACATCAAGGAGACATCCAGCTGACATCAAGGAGACATCCAGCCGACATCAAGGAGACATCCAGCTGACATCAAGGAGACATCCAGCCGACATCAAGGAGACGTCCAGCCGACATCCAGCTGACATCAAGGAGACATCCAGCCGACATCCAGCTGACATCAAGGAGACATCCAGCTGACATCAAGGAGACATCCAGCCGACATCAAGGAGACGTCCAGCCGACATCCAGCTGACATCAAGGAGACATCCAGCCGACATCCAGCTGACATCAAGGAGACATCCAGCTGACATCAAGGAGACATCCAGCCGACATCAAGGAGACGTCCAGCCGACATCCAGCTGACATCAAGGAGACATCCAGCCGACATCCAGCTGACATCAAGGAGACATCCAGCTGACATCAAGGAGACATCCAGCTGACATCAAGGAGACATCCAGCCGACATCCAGCTGACATCAAGGAGACATCCAGCTGACATCAAGGAGACATCCAGCTGACATCAAGGAGACATCCAGCCGACATCCAGCTGACATCAAGGAGACATCCAGCTGACATCAAGGAGACATCCAGCTGACATCAAGGAGACATCCAGCCGACATCCAGCTGACATCAAGGAGACATCCAGCTGACATCAAGGAGACATCCAGCCGACATCAAGGAGACGTCCAGCCGACATCCAGCTGACATCAAGGAGACATCCAGCCGACATCCAGCTGACATCAAGGAGACATCCAGCTGACATCAAGGAGACATCCAGCCGACATCAAGGAGACGTCCAGCCGACATCCAGCTGACATCAAGGAGACATCCAGCCGACATCCAGCTGACATCAAGGAGACATCCAGCTGACATCAAGGAGACATCCAGCTGACATCAAGGAGACATCCAGCCGACATCCAGCTGACATCAAGGAGACATCCAGCTGACATCAAGGAGACATCCAGCCGACATCAAGGAGACATCCAGCTGACATCAAGGAGACATCCAGCCGACATCAAGGAGACATCCAGCTGACATCAAGGAGACATCCAGCCGACATCAAGGAGACGTCCAGCCGACATCCAGCTGACATCAAGGAGACATCCAGCCGACATCCAGCTGACATCAAGGAGACATCCAGCTGACATCAAGGAGACATCCAGCTGACATCAAGGAGACATCCAGCCGACATCCAGCTGACATCAAGGAGACATCCAGCTGACATCAAGGAGACATCCAGCCGACATCAAGGAGACGTCCAGCCGACATCCAGCTGACATCAAGGAGACATCCAGCCGACATCCAGCTGACATCAAGGAGACATCCAGCTGACATCAAGGAGACATCCAGCCGACATCAAGGAGACGTCCAGCCGACATCCAGCTGACATCAAGGAGACATCCAGCCGACATCAAGGAGACATCCAGCCGACATCAAGGAGACGTCCAGCCGACATCCAGCTGACATCAAGGAGACATCCAGCCGACATCCAGCTGACATCAAGGAGACATCCAGCTGACATCAAGGAGACATCCAGCTGACATCAAGGAGACATCCAGCCGACATCCAGCTGACATCAAGGAGACATCCAGCTGACATCAAGGAGACATCCAGCCGACATCAAGGAGACATCCAGCCGACATCCAGCTGACATCAAGGAGACATCCAGCTGACATCAAGGAGACATCCAGCTGACATCAAGGAGACATCCAGCCGACATCCAGCTGACATCAAGGAGACATCCAGCTGACATCAAGGAGACATCCAGCTGACATCAAGGAGACATCCAGCCGACATCCAGCTGACATCAAGGAGACATCCAGCTGACATCAAGGAGACATCCAGCCGACATCAAGGAGACATCCAGCCGACATCCAGCTGACATCAAGGAGACATCCAGCTGACATCAAGGAGACATCCAGCTGACATCAAGGAGACATCCAGCCGACATCCAGCTGACATCAAGGAGACATCCAGCTGACATCAAGGAGACATCCAGCTGACATCAAGGAGACATCCAGCCGACATCCAGCTGACATCAAGGAGACATCCAGCTGACATCAAGGAGACATCCAGCTGACATCAAGGAGACATCCAGCCGACATCCAGCTGACATCAAGGAGACATCCAGCTGACATCAAGGAGACATCCAGCTGACATCAAGGAGACATCCAGCCGACATCCAGCTGACATCAAGGAGACATCCAGCTGACATCAAGGAGACATCCAGCCGACATCAAGGAGACATCCAGCTGACATCAAGGAGACATCCAGCCGACATCAAGGAGACGTCCAGCCGACATCCAGCTGACATCAAGGAGACATCCAGCCGACATCCAGCTGACATCAAGGAGACATCCAGCTGACATCAAGGAGACATCCAGCCGACATCAAGGAGACGTCCAGCCGACATCCAGCTGACATCAAGGAGACATCCAGCCGACATCCAGCTGACATCAAGGAGACATCCAGCTGACATCAAGGAGACATCCAGCCGACATCAAGGAGACGTCCAGCCGACATCCAGCTGACATCAAGGAGACATCCAGCCGACATCCAGCTGACATCAAGGAGACATCCAGCTGACATCAAGGAGACGTCCAGCTGACATCAAGGAGACATCCAGCTGACATCAAGGAGACATCCAGCCGACATCAAGGAGACGTCCAGCCGACATCCAGCTGACATCAAGGAGACATCCAGCCGACATCCAGCTGACATCAAGGAGACATCCAGCTGACATCAAGGAGACATCCAGCCGACATCAAGGAGACATCCAGCCGACATCAAGGAGACGTCCAGCCGACATCCAGCTGACATCAAGGAGACATCCAGCCGACATCCAGCTGACATCAAGGAGACATCCAGCTGACATCAAGGAGACATCCAGCCGACATCAAGGAGACGTCCAGCCGACATCCAGCTGACATCAAGGAGACATCCAGCCGACATCCAGCTGACATCAAGGAGACATCCAGCTGACATCAAGGAGACATCCAGCCGACATCAAGGAGACGTCCAGCCGACATCCAGCTGACATCAAGGAGACATCCAGCCGACATCCAGCTGACATCAAGGAGACATCCAGCTGACATCAAGGAGACATCCAGCCGACATCAAGGAGACGTCCAGCCGACATCCAGCTGACATCAAGGAGACATCCAGCCGACATCCAGCTGACATCAAGGAGACATCCAGCTGACATCAAGGAGACATCCAGCCGACATCAAGGAGACGTCCAGCCGACATCCAGCTGACATCAAGGAGACATCCAGCTGACATCAAGGAGACATCCAGCTGACATCAAGGAGACATCCAGCTGACATCAAGGAGACATCCAGCCGACATCCAGCTGACATCAAGGAGACATCCAGCTGACATCAAGGAGACATCCAGCCGACATCAAGGAGACGTCCAGCCGACATCCAGCTGACATCAAGGAGACATCCAGCCGACATCCAGCTGACATCAAGGAGACATCCAGCTGACATCAAGGAGACATCCAGGCGACATCCAGCTGACATCAAGGAGACATCCAGCTGACATCAAGGAGACATCCAGCCGACATCCAGCTGACATCAAGGAGACATCCAGCTGACATCAAGGAGACGTCCAGCCGACATCCAGCTGACATCAAGGAGACATCCAGCTGACATCAAGGAGACGTCCAGCCGACATCCAGCTGACATCAAGGAGACATCCAGCCGACATCCAGCTGACATCAAGGAGACATCCAGCCGACATCCAGCCGACATCAAGGAGACATCCAGCTGACATCAAGGAGACGTCCAGCCGACATCAAGGAGACGTCCAGCCGACATCAAGGAGACATCCATCTGACATCCAGCCGACATCAAGGAGACATCCATCTGACATCAAGGAGACGTCCAGCCGACATCAAGGAGACGTCAAGCCAACATCAGGGAGACATCCACCCGACATCAAGGAGACGTCAAGCCAACATCAGGGAGACATCCAGCCGACATCCATCTGACATCAAGGAGACGTCCAGCCGACATCCACCTGACATCAAGGAGACATCCAGCCGACATCCAGCTGACATCAAGGAGACGTCCAGCGGATGTCCAGCAGACATCCAGTGGACAACAATGACTCATCACCAGCTGACCAGGACTCTCTGTTCTCTGGGAGGAAACTGCACATCCTTCCTGTCTGATCATCATCACAGCAGGATGTCGAAGGTTCTCCACCTTCATGGCCACATCCCAACACACCACACTCACCTGAAGCCTCACCTGTTCCCCACGGTTGACGTTCCTGACCACACCCACTACATCATCGGCTCTGTCATCCTGTTGGTAGGGGTGATGGGCATGCTGGGAAACGGTCTGGTCATCTACGTGTTCTGTCGCAGTCCGACACTTCGTTTGCCCAGCAACCTGCTGGTGGTCAACCTGGCGGCAGCAGACTTCATGATGTCTCTGACGCAGTCTCCCGTCTTCTTTGTGTCCAGCCGACATCACCACTGAGTGTTTGGGGAGCTCGCCTGTGAGCTGTACGCTTTCTGTGGCGCGTTGTTTGGCATCACCTCCATGATTACACTGACAGCCATCGCGGTGGATCGCTGCCTGGCCATCACGCGGCCACTGGCTCTGCTGGGCGGGGTGAGTCGTGAGCGGGTGTGGGCGGTGCTGGTGGGGGTGTGGTTGTACTCTCTAGGGTGGAGTCTGCCACCGTACTTAGGGTGGAGCGCCTACATCCCTGAAGGCCTGCAAACGTCCTGCAGCTGGGACTACATGAGCTTCACCACCGCTGTGCGCACCTACACCATTCTGCTGTTCGCCTTCGTCTTCTTTGTCCCGCTCTGTCTCATCGCTGGCTGCCACTACGCCATCTTCCAGGTGGTGCGGGAGGCAGCTCAGGAGGCGGAGCAGCTGAACTGTGGTGAGACCAACAAGGCGTACGAGTGTCTGCTCAGTGACTGGCGGTTGGCTAAAGTTGCTCTGGGAGTGATCCTGCTGTTCGTCATCTCCTGGTCACCGTACTCTGCTGTAGCTCTGACCGCCACAGCGGGCTACACCCACCTACTGACGCCCTACATGAACTCAGTTCCTGCTGTCATAGCAAAGGCCTCCGCCATTCACAACCCCATCATCTACGCCATCACACACCCAAAGTACCACGCCGCCATCGGCTGCCACGTCCCACTGCTGCGCCCTCTGCTGCGGCTGCATGAAAAGGACCTGCGCTCATCTTTCAGCTCCAGCAGCACTTCATCTCGCCGAGCCACGCTCACTGGTCAGAGCCCACCAGGAGTCCAGCTCAGCGCCGGCGTCTGGGCCAACAGCCAATGGAGGAAGACCCGACTGTCTTCAGCGTCTGACAACGAGTCTTGCTGGACGGAGAGCAAAGCTGATGGATCCAGTGCTGGGTCAGCGGCCGTCACCAGACAGCTGTCCTCTGACGTCACTGCAGACAACACTGCTGCCCCCAACACCAACCCTGACACCGCCATGAGCATCTCTGACCCCACCATCGCCACCACTGTCCTTAGCCAGCAGAGACGACAGACAGGAGCTGACTCACCCGATGGGGGCGCTGCAGCCGAGTAAACCAACAAAAACACAACTTAAACAGGAGCACTGCGACAGTTTAGAAACTGACTGAGGTCATTGTTAGACACAATAAGTCTGAGAAACAGTATATATATTATTATGTTCATATATTAATATTATTCCAGCACATCAATCAATCAATCACAGCAACCTGCTTGTTTAAGTATACACTATTATGTTCAACAGTTGTCATTTTTACTGATTAAAGAGATGTTGTTTGACTAACAGTTTGAATGTTCTTTTGCTGTTTGTTTGTGTGATGTGCCTGGGAAACAAGTTCCACTCATACATGCCTCTGTACACAACAGTTCTTTTACCCCAATTAGATTTCACAGTTGGCAATGCAAAATATCCACCAGCCGCATGTCTAGTGAAATATTCATGGTTATCAGCGCTGTAGCATAGCTCTTGGTAAAATACATGAGGAGTCTTTGTTATGATCACATTTCTAATGAATAATAATAATGAATAAATTAATCTGTCGCTAACCATTAACCAGCCAAGATTCATATGCATTTTAATGACACTTGACATCAAACTACAACCAAGAACAATGCGTGCAGCTCTGTTTTGTATTTTTTTGTAGTTTTGCAATCATATCTGCAGTTGCATTTGCCCAAACTGCATGGCAATAGTCAAGATTTGATATAATTAAGGCTTGAATTGCTAGTCTAGTTGATTTTGGAGTTAGGCATGCCCTGTGTCTTCGTATTATAGAAATGCCATGCCATCTTATTTATATGTGTTTTCCATGATAATTTTTCATCATTGACTATTCCCAGCAGCTTGGTCTCCTGCACCTGCTTGATACTGCCCTGTTTTATTTTAAGATTTAACTGTGGGTTATCCTGATGTTGAAATTTGAGCCTAATATCATGCAGTTAGTTTTTGATACATTCAGAACTATTTTATTACAATTTATCCAGTGTTCATCTGTTTATAACTCCTTGATTAAAACTGTATTTAGCTCACTGGCTGTAAATGCAGAGGCATATATGGTCGAATCGTCAGCATACATGGCTAAAGTGGCTCTGTTCAAAATTTGTGACAGATCATTTGTAAAAATAGTAAATAGTAATGGACCCAAGCAACTACCCTGTGGCACCCCACATGTCAAAGCTCGCACATCAGAAAAGCAACCGTTGTAGAAAACTGTTCTGTGCATCCTGTCTGTAAGATAGCTTTTAATCCATGTCAAGGATAACAGATCAAACCCAAAACATTCTAGTTTTTTCAGCAATATGTTGTGGTCAATTATGTCAAAGGCTGCTGAGAAATCCAGCATAACAGCACCAACCATGTTCTTCTTATCAATTTCTCTGAGCCAGTCATCCGTCATCTGAGCTAAAGCTGTGGCAGTGGAGTGCCCCTCTCTATATGCATGCTGAAAATCTGTTATTAGATTATTGCCTAACATGTAACTCATAGTTTGTTCGTATATAATACTTTCCATACATTTACATAATACTGGCAGTATACTTATTGGACGGCTATTTGCACCCAAAAATGGCTCTTTCCTGTTTTTAGGCAGTGGCAGTATTTTGGCTGTTTTCCATTTTTGTGGACATAGACCACTGCTGAAGCTGGTGTTTATAATGTGGCAGATCGAAGGTGCAACTAACTCTGCAACTGGTTTCAAAATTTTGCTGTCTAGATTATCAATACCGGGTGGTTTGTTTTTGCAAGTTCTTATAATATTTTCAACCTTTTTTATACATACATTATCAAAACTAAATATACAATTTATTCTTCATAATACTATCTTATATTAATAGGCCAGATATATGATCATTACTGTCAACAGAGGGCAAATTATCTTTTAATTTTTCAACTTTATTTAAAAAATATGTATTAAAATAGTTTGCTATATCATTTGGCTTCGTTAAGAAGTTGCCATCTACTTCCAAGAATTATGGTGTATCCAAAGTGTTTCTACCCAGTAGGTCATTTAGTGTTTTCCAAACTTTTTTGCCATCATTGTTTTCATAATATAATTTCTTTTTAAGTCTATTTAATTTAGTAACATGGTTTCTTAATTTACGATATATGATCCAGTCGTCCCTATAACCTGTAGTCATTGAGGTTTTCTTAGAATGATCTCTTTGTCTCATGTATTCTTTAGTCTCATTGTCTAACCAGGGTGACTGAATATTCTTGACTGTGAACTTTTTGAGAGGCGCATGCTTATTAATTACAGGCACAAAAATTTCATCAAACCTAGACAGAGCTTCATCTGGATTATTTTCCTTTAGAACATCCTCCCAGTTCAATTTCTTTACTTCTTCAATAAAGTTTTCCTCATTAAACATTTTGTATGATCTTTTCATTATCACTTTAGGTCCAGGTTTTTTAATTTTTGCTTTCCTGACAACTGCAATAAGATTGTGATCTTATGCACTCCATCAGAACCGATACTGATTTTAGACAAAGTTCTGGTGCATTTGTATATATATATATGTTCGATACAGGTCGAGCTAGTGATACCATCATACATATGACACATCCTTGTAGGTTTATTTATCGATGCCAATGCCCCGCCCCCTTGACATACTACGGTGCTGTGCCCCCTTTACATGCCATGATGATATGATTTAAAAAGACAAAGGAGAAACTTCCTGATTTTCAGGAGGAAGTTTTCAGGTCATTTAGTTTTGACTGGACGCAGAGAAAACGTCATGTTGGGGCGGGGCTGGACTTTAAACAGTGATGACATCATCATTTCTTTCTGTCCAATAACGGCTCCTCTAACTGTTTTATGTAAAGGACTGTGACTGTGTGTCCTTCCTTCCTTCCTTCCTTCCTTCCTTCCTTCCTTTTCACCTTCTGTCCTCCCTTCTTTTGTATCCTGTTTCCTTTCTCATCCCCTTTCCTTCCTTCTGTATCTCAGTGTTTCCTTCCTCACACCTGTCGGTCAGTTTATCCATCGCTACGGACTCTTCCTCACTGAACGTGGCTTCCTGTCTCACATCATACATCCTGTTTGTGGACTGTGTCTGTGTTAATGCTGCTGTCAATAAAGTTTGAGTGTGTTGAATGTAACATGTTAATCCTCCAGATTAGCTGTGTCTTCAGTCTGTTAGCAGTTAGCAGATTAGCTGCTTGCTGTTAATCCGTCTGCAGCGTGTCTGTCAGTCAACATGTCGTCGGTCAGAAGGAACCCAGTCTTGCTCTTCTCAGGTACGTCCTGAACCAAACCTCACTCATATTTCCAATGATTGTAAACCAGGTACAGACTGATGCCTGAACAGCTCCAAGGCTCCGGGATCTGCTCATCATTAGCAGAGTCAGTCAGATTAAACATCTCAATCTGAAGGATGAATTCATCTGATGAGTCGCCTCAGATTAAACCTGAAAACATCCACAGTGTTCATCTCTCAGAATCAGCAGTTTTTTTATGGGACTTTTGGATGAACAGCTTTAATGTGACAGTACACAGAGCTATTTGCAGTTTCTCACCTGATCAATAAACCAATCACAGCTCTGATTTCATCATTCAGTGAAAATGATCAGCCTGACACCTCTGTATTTGTATGTTTTTCAGTGCTGCTGGTTGTTGTCTCGGTGTCGGCCTTCGTGGAGGAGCTCGATGACTCGTGAGTGTCTTTAAATGATTGATTGAAGCTGTAGGGGAGACCGGGTCCAGTTGGTCGTAGTTTAGCTGCCGTTTATAAAGATGAAGGAACCGACAGAAACAAGTTCAACATTGAACTCTGAAGAACTGGAAAACATCAATATTTAAACACAGATCTGTAATAACCATAAGCATAGAATGATGAATGTTAATTTATTCTAAATGTAAGAATGTAATTTGAACATAAATCTATTAGAACATGTTATGACGGTAATAGTATTACAAAGGTGAATGTATCAAACATAAACATGTTATAACATTATAACACTCCTGCTTATGAAAAGCAGAAATGTTATTAATATGTTGACATTTATAATAAGTTTACATTTAAAGTACATTTGTTTATAATATGTTAATCTTTAGAGTATAACATGTTTACGTTTATAGTAGGTTTATGTTTATTATAATAGTCAGAGTCACTATGTCCTGATTTCAACCTTTGTTCAAAATCTTCTGGGAGTTTATAAACTATGCATTTTTGGAAAGTTCAGAGTCTGACAAACCCCAAAACCAAGGTTTCCATTTTTTTCAAGGTGTCTGTGGCGGCCATCTTGGACTTTCAAAATGGCGACCAGCCATAACCTGTTTTTAGCTGGGTCCATATTGATAAATCAAATTGGTTCTGAGTTTATAAGTTAATTATATATTTTTCAAGCCAAAGAAACAAATGGGACCAGTTCCAATACATTAAGAATTGAATCTGATGGTGCGTCTGCCTCTAATTTGTTTTTTTATCAAGAAAATAATTGCTGTATCTCTTGTTGTCGTTGGGAACATGAATTAGGCATAACACGGAGGAACCAATTATGTAGGGATCAGCATTTCTAGGCATCACCAAGTGGACACCATTAATGTTGTAAATTAGATATAGGAAATAATTATTATTAATAATTAATAATTATGTTAAATAATGTGACTTAATTAACATTAAATCACCTCATGGGGCACCATTCCCGTAAAGGGAAAAATGATAGCCAGTTAAAGATATCAGTCTCATAAAATAGGCTAAACTATTAATTTGGAATTTTAATTAATAATTAAATAATAACCATAACCAAAAGTAACAGTAAAGCCTGAAGGAGTTCTTGACACAGCAGAGGTTGACTATTCATTCACTCTTGTGCAACATTAAACAGACAGCAGGTATGATTCCAAAGAATTATATTTATTCACAAACTAGCAAAGAGATCTGATCTGAGAACTGATCAAAGAGCCATTTTGGCCTACAAAACTAGAGAGAGAGAGAACTACAAGATGGCCAAATCAAAGCTGGCTTCAGTTTCGGGGGAGGTGTCTGTCTGACCGTGTGGTCAGGACGAAGACAAAGGAAAAGAAGCAGGAACTTTGAGTTGCCTGTTTGGATGTAGCTCTGTTGAAAGCCTGTTTGTTAATGAGTCTGTGTCAATGTGACGTGTGTTGCAAACGGTCTGAATTAGTGCAGAGATTGTTTAGTTGTGTGCAAGAATCTGTTTGTGAACAGTATTAGCAAACTAAACACTTAGCTTTGGCAAAGCCAACTAATCAATGACCTAACTGCCAACAATCACAACAATAAGTCAATGACAGAATTAAATCACATACAGCAAGTCAAACAGTCTTGCTTAGCCTGTAAAGCTGTGATAAGCTATGCCCAGTTGTTACGTTACCGATCCTTGAGTGGATAAAAGAAAGAGTCACTTGGTGGTGTACTGCTTTGTTAGCCGGCAGAAGAAGGCTGGAAAGAGCTGTGGTTTCAGCTGCAGTCTTTGTCCTTTCCATGTTCCAAAGGTGAAACAACGAGGAAGCTGGTCGCTCAGGGCTTTGCAGAGTTAGACGCTGGGTGCTAACTCGCTTGGTTCCTTGTTGCTAGAAAGCTAGTTGCAAATCTTGTGCTTGCAAGTCTAACTTCTCTGGTTCAGGTTTGCCTCAGCCTTGAGCGTGGGCAAGTCGTGGTCCAGGAAAAGAGAGTCTGTGAGCAATTGCCACACCTGTGATGTTTCAGGGCAAGAAGCAAGGTCCAATGGCTGGTCCAGGCCCAGCGGAGAAGAGAGGTGTGGGCTGTTCGGCAGCTCCCGAGTAAGAGAAAGATTGTCTGAAGGGAGCAGACCTTCTACAGATGCCTGTGACATCACAGAGTCACATGTCACTGTAAAAGTCCTGTCAAATCAAGTTTGGCGACTGTTCTCACTGAGGTGAGAAATGGTTCTCTTTGTCTGAAGAACAAAGAGCATGCAGAAAAGAGAAGCCTTCACATGTCCAGTTTAGATTTTAAGAAATGACAAATCATCTGTGGTCCTGTGAATCCCAACATTGTTGTATCTCTTATTACTACTCTTGGCAACTAGCTAGGTAGTGTTAGCAGCTGGCTTTAGTAAAACAGCAGCAAAGATAAGGAGTGTTAACCACTGGATGACGTTCTTAGCTAACGTTAAACACAATAAGTTATTTAGCAGTCGTCAGTTGAGATCTTTATCTATTAATATGACAGAGCAGAGGACTAAATAAGGACTGGTGTGACAATATGAATATGAGGTGCTGTCCTGTTCCTGCTCGCCCTGCGTCACAAGGAGAACAAACACCTTGGATCACTGCCATACAGCATCCAGAGGTGGTTACAGAGCAGCGCTCACACTGTGTGCGAGGAGTGACCGTACGGCTGTCTCATTGGGGTTGAGATCTGTCAGCATACTTCACCACATCCCCAGTGACATCAGAGGTGGAGCCAATCAGAGGATAGGACACGTTCCTGGACATCTCCGTCGATGTCATCAATGAATTCATTGAGTCTCTGGTGGATTTCATTTGTGAAACAACAGAAGCACCTGCACCCAAAACTACAGTTAAATCACTCCACAACCAGAGACCATGGACGCACAGAACCATCACACACACTGCAGCCAGTCTGTAAACATGTCTGTTATAAAGCAGCAGCCTTCAATGAAAGAAGAAATGATTAACTTCCAAAACACAGGTTAAAGCAGCTGATGGGATCACATTTCAATGGAGTCATACCTTGTACCGTTTCATGTGATTAATAAATGATTGATTTAAATGAACTCTTTGGCGAAGTTAACTCTGGAATACAGGCAAGTCTGCCCTCAGTTGGTCACATCACCTCAACATATGGCCGCACAAAGAGCAACAAAGATAGAAGCTTTAGCAAAAACAACGAGGAAGTTGACACCTTAATGGTCTGTCTCACTGTGTCTCCAGCAAAACTAAAATCTGCAGATGTTCAACTTACCTTCTTCTCTCCTGATACAGATGTCCTGATTCTGGTAATAGCCAACTCTGACTTGTTGCCAAAGAACACTGCGATCTTGATGGCATCAGGTGCTCTACAGGTCCAATCTTTCTGGGATATAGTAGGTCCAGGAAAGGCAAAAGCATTATGTGCACTGAGTGCATTCTCTGTTGCTGACAACACTGTACGGTCTGCAAGAGTCTGTTTAATCTCAATTCACACTACACAACTTGTCTTGTAGTCATTGTGGTTTCACACTACATGACTGACCAGCAGCACTGGGAGGAATCCCCGATGAGTCGGTTCATGTATTGTGATGCACACGTCAGCTCGTGGTGCTTACAAATGTCACAGGTTATTAATAACTTACAGAAACATTACAGATTATTCAACATTGTGTGCGACAGTCCACCTTCTCTGTCCCTCTCTCCAAAGACACTCTATAACAAAAGACACCACATTACGAGTTCTGCCAATGGTATGAATTCGTACATACTTCCTGTCTTTTAAGTGGGTGTAGGCATCTCTCCACTGCATAGCCCAAGCTCATTTTGAAGTGTAGTGAATGTCGTGTGGATGGATGAAAGCAGATTCAAAGCATTGCAACACAAAATGCTTGTTCTTAGATGTTCCTGTAGGTCAAAAGACTTCCGATGCACTGACCTTGGCCGCCTTTCCCAAATCGCTCTTAGCGCTAAGAAGATCTTTCACTAAGGAGTTGTAAGATCAAGCTGACACACTCTTAACAGTGGTACCGCAGCAGGCACATTAATATTACACTAAGCAAGGAGATGTTAAAACAGTGCACAGTGTATATATTTTAACCTATTTTATACTTCAGATTTATAATGTTTAGCATTAATTGGTGACAGAAAAGAACAAATTTCATTCTGCAGGGAAATGCGTGTCCTTACTGTGCATATAACAATAAACACTTTGAATCTTGAATCTATATGTTTTATGAAGACCCTATGTGCGCTCAAAGCTGTGGCACAAGTTACGCACCGAAATCTGGCGGAAGAAAAATAATAATAAGAAGAAAAATAAGTACAAGGAATAACCAATGAATCATCATGACGATCATTTATCGTAATTTGTCTGCACATATCCCACATCTGTATGCACATATGAGATAGTTTACCACATCCAAAAAATGCATCAGGGCTCAACAGAAACACATCCACCCTCCAAACCTGCTACATTCAGACATCAGGCAGCTGACAGGTGTAACTGAGCTCAGCTGGAACCTCATCAAGGGACGCTCCACCCGCTACTCTACATAAAGGCGTTGCCACATCACACATGTGTGAGATACCATGGCTGCTTTACAGCATATTCTCGCTGCTAACCAACAGCATCGCCGTGTGCGAAGCCAAACCGTATATGTAAATGCATTTGTGCATCAGCACTTCAGCTCACTGGACGTGCTGTCAGACCGGGCTGTCCAAATGAAGTACTGAGATACAACGCCTCATCAATTAGTGTCTCCACACATCCAGAGGGCAACCTGGTGCAATTTGGCCCTCAGCCCGGAGGTGCAGTGCCTGGCTGCGCTGCGTTTTTACGCAGTGGGGAGCTTCCTGGAGGTGGTGGGAGATGGCACAGGCCTCAGCAAGGCGTCTGTGTTTTTTAGGTCAAATATAAAACATTAATGAAGAAAGACAACATGCACTCTCAAAAAAGAAGAAAAAAATCTGGAGGTGCTCGGCCACAGAACAGTATCAACAAGACAAAACCAGCAACACTCGGTGTCCTTCGTTAACAACTTTTAATACCTCACTGGTACAGGCGATCAAACACACAGTCCTCATGATTCTCTTACCAAGACTACTTCTTATTTAGTCATAGTCTTGTTTTCGTCATGACAATAGGTCATTAACAAATATTTATCGTCTTAGTTTTTCATTAGAATTATTAGAGCACACTTACACACGAGCAGCAGGGGGTTAGTGCGTTAGGTAGCAGCGCTGTGACTGACTTATGGCTGATGAAGTGGTGGGTGATTGATTTGCCTGACATCAATTGATTTAGTTTCAGCACAGCGGTAGTGTCCAGCTCCTGTTAAGAGCTTCTTAAAGAGTGATCCTAAGAAGGGCCTTAAGAACTCATCTGGGAAACACTCGTATCTTAGCGACCCTTCTTACCAAAGACATTCTTAACTGTGCTCTTAAGTCTTAAGATCGCTCTTAACTGGGAAAC